TAAATGACACGTGCAGGAGACTAGCCAGACCAGAACCAAAATATGGATGCAGAGCTGAGTAATTAATGAGAACAACCAAAAAGCACAGGCTCAGATCTGAAGGCACCCGGGTATGAATGTATTTGGATGGTTAAAAATTACTCTGGTGGCCAGCAAGTGGCATGGTGGTTAATGGCACTGGACTCCCACATGGCTGACTGCAGTTTGAGTCCAGTCTTGGCAGTTTGCTTTCTCTCTTTCTCCCTTTTTCTCCCTCTCTGGTCAAATTAGGGTAGATAAATCAATAAAGTTAAATAAAATAATCACTCTGTAACTGAGCCTAAGCAGTGATTACTATAGCAAGATCACTTACCTTCTCCCTTAAATATAAAACTACGCCTCCCTCTTATCCAGCTCATGTTTTCAAACCCCAGCAGTGTGATATCGACACGCAGTTTGGCACCACTTTTCCAAATGCGACAGACATCATTCGGGCATATTCTGGAAACCAAGGGCACTGGAAGAAAGAATGGTACTCCTGAGGAAAGGCAACAGAACACCAGTCCAGGAAATCTCAATTCTGACTTCATAGTAACCATCGAACAGAACCGGACTTCTTGGCACCCGTACTTCTTACACAAGAAGTCACTCTGTAAAGAATTAAAATGGACCTTCTGTCCCATAGTTCTTTATAAAGGAGTAGACCTATGTCTTGTCCGGAGAAAACACTCAACGAATCTCCCAGGAGTATTCTTGATTCAGAAATGAACCCCATTTATCGACCCCCCCCCCCATCACCACCGGGGTATAGAGTTTGTCCATCTGGCCCTTCCTCATTCACACATGCTACTCTTGCCATATGGCTACCGTCTACCATACTGTCAGAGCCGCCTTTCAAAATAGCGAACGTCAAAAATATGGCTGCCTTTTCACAAAACCTGAAGTCAGAGTGATTATTTGCATTATGAAAGAACTTCGTTCCTCAGAACAATCTGAAGTTCATTTCTTTTATAGATTTTTTTACTTCATTTCAGTGTTTCATTACAAATATCACTTCTTGCCTGAAAGGGAAGTCTAGAAGTGAAAATGGATGAAAATCTGGGAGTTAGGAGTTATCATTAACTCATCTACAAGAAATAAAAGTAGAACATCTATAAAAATATATTGTCAGTCAATTTGCCTTACATAATACTTTGGAAAAATACATCCATTTTATGAAAAAAAAAAAAAAACCTATTCATTCCAATATTCGCTTCATATTCTCTTTTTTTCAAGAGAGAGATTTTTGCTTTAGGGGCTGTGCACTTCCCAAGGAGAGACAGAGGGACTGAAAACGAGAAGTCATCCCCCCAGAGGGGATGGCCACACCACAATCCCTTCTCTGTTCTCTTCTCCAGAGTTTAGACATACACACACACCAGCATGAGTTTCAAGCCCCCGGGTCTGGGACTTGAACCACGGTCAGCCATGTGGGAATCCAGTGACATACCCATTATACTGGTCCCTCATCTTCTTTAGAATAATAAGTTTAAAAGAATCAAGCTAAACCACATAAGAGAAATGAGGAAAGTACAGTAAATCTACTCATTAAAATATTAGCAAATTAAAAAAAATAATAAATTTGCCAGAGAGAGACAGAGAGGAAGGAGTGGGGAGAGCACTCTTTAATGGGGCACGGTTATACCGCAATCCCTTCTCCACTTTTCCATCCTGTCAGGATTTTGAACACAAACACACATCTGTGCCCAACATGTTTTTCAAGTTACCGGGTCTGAATTCAAACTGCACTAAGAGATCTGGCTTCCCTAACCACAGGGCCAGCCCTAAAAGTTGAGCAATGAAATTGACATTTTAGAAACTAATAATATGGGACCGAGCAGGTGGTGTGATGGTTAAAAGCACTAGACTCAACTGTGGATCAACCACTGGACCCAGCAGCTTGAAACTCATGCCAAGTATGTTTGTATGTGTGCCCAAAATCCCAGGAGGAGAATGTAGGAGAAGAGACTGTGGCATGGCCATCCCCTGGGGGAGATTTCTCACAGTCTCCCTCACTGTCTCTCTCTTTCTGTCTCTCTGGCAAGCATGTGCACCCTATGGCAAAAAACTAAAATAAAATAAAATAAAACTAATAATATGATGTCAGCTATAAGCAAAGAAAGGAAAAAACAAAACTGTCCATATACTGAATTTATAGATGCTTAGAGGGAAGAGTCCTATGAATGGGAGGAACAACTAGAAGAAAAACACTCAAAGCATTAACAGTGGTTGTGTTTAAGTGAGACAATAGGTATTATTCTTGATGCATTTCCTAGATTAAAAAAATAATGATATTACATGTTAGTTTTTATAAAGGAAAAATAAATCTAGGTGCAGCCTAAGTAAATCTATAGACAGAAATAAATTATAAGCCCAAAGCCACTCACCCCAGCTGGTGAATTCCCATTTCATCTGCACATAGAAATCTGGAGCCTGAGAAACAAAGGTTTAATACGGATTACCGTCAGCAATGTTAATGGAACACAAACACAGCGAGGGCTCATAGGGTGTTTTAAAATTTATAGAACAAAGACCGGTATACTGGTTATATCGCTGGATTCCTACATAGTCGACTGTGGTTCGAGTCCCAGACCAGGTGATTTAAAACTCACACAGGGAGCGTGTGCGAGTGTACCAAGATCCCGAGAGGAGAATGGATTGCAGTGTGGCCATTCCCCCTGGGGAGTGATTTCTCACTTTCTGTCTCTCTGTCTCTCTTTGTCTCTCTGGTGAGTGCATACACGTTATAGCAAAAATCTCTCTTCAAAAAGAAGAAAAAAACTAAAGAACAGCCTTGTAACACAGTGGTTAAGCCCTGTGCGTAAAGAGCTGGATCCCACATGACCAAACATGGTGCAAACCCCAGCCTGATGAGTTGACAAACATGTCCGGTATGTGTGCCTAGAATCCTGATGGGATGGGAAAATGAAGGGAAGAAGATTGGGACGTGATCACACCTCACTGGGAGGTGCTTTCTCTCTAGGGCAAATACGCATGCCATCTGGAGAAAGAGAGAATACAAAGAAACAAAGTACAAGCCCATTACTTGCTTTCTATTCAGGCTGCTATTTTACTTGATGAAACGTCAGAAAGTTCATGGGAAAATAGGTTTACAATATGAGATGACTGGGGCCAGCAGGCGGCATGGTGATCGGAGCGCTGGACTCCCACATGACCGCCCATTTGAGTCCTGGACCTGGCGGCTTACTTTCTCACACTCTCTCTTTCTTGTCAAATTGAACAATAATAATAAATAAATAAAAATAAATAAATAATTTTAAAATATATGAGATTATTTGAGTGTAAAAACCCTAAGATCCAGAGCCAGCAGGTGGTGTGGAGGTTTTGGCACCTGAATCCCACATGGCTGACTTCACAGTTTAAGTCCTGGACCCATCAGTTCAAAAGTCATGCCAGGTGCATGTTCATGTGCATGTATGTCCTAGATTCTGAGAGGAGAATGGAGAAGGGATTGTAGCATAGCCATCCCCCTGGGGGTGGAGGGGCTTTCTCATTTTCCTTCTGTTTTTCTGTCTCTCTCTGCGGCAAACACACATGCCCTACAGCAAACGAAAAGAAAAGAAATCTAAGCAGCTTGTTTTATAATATGCACTTTCCATGAACATTTTGAAGACCCTGCGTATTTCTAGACAGTTACAGTTAGCAGAAAACAACAAGGTTGGAGGGGAATAAAAGTCAGACCTAATTTGGGACTTCAGTCGTGTTCCCAAAAGAAGGGGAAAGATGAGCCTGTGGAGACAGGCTAAGTACCACCACGCAGGGTGGAAGGGTGGGTGACTAACCAGTCTAAGTGAGAAGGGAGTGTCAGTTCCATACATTATTTGGGGAGCTTGGCTGTGAATGGCTACATGTGCTGGGAATTGCTTCATATTTCCCAGACCATCTGTGAAACCCAACGAGTCTGCTAGGCATCCCTCGGAGGTGGATTTCCCTCCAGTTCACAGAAGATTTTACTCCACTGCCTCCTAAACTCATAGAGCCCGGCTTTCTGAAGTTTTATACCACCAGAGCCGCCCTATTTAGAATGATTTACCTACCATGCATTCTTCCAGAAGCTTCTTGAAGAGCTACTTAAGAACTCCAGTTACTATCCAAAAAGAGAAATGTTAGAAACTCCAGGTGTTTGCCTATTCCCTCAAAGCCCAAGACTTTGTAGTCGTTTTTACAGAAGCACAGCCAGGAGGGCCAGTGCTTCTGGAGGAGCCGCCAGGGTTGCAGTCACGGGCAAACAGAACCTCTGAGGGGTGGCATTATATTTATGGTTCTGAAAACGTTACAAAGCCACACAGGATGTCTCCAGCTACTATATAGCATGAAGCTCAAATTATGGCATGGCCACATTTTTACAGATACCTCGAGAATTTTTTTGAGCAACTCAGGAACTCCCTCGAGGGCCATAGACGTGTTGTGGTAGTCTCGGTGTTGAAGAACCGTGTACACCATCTCAGGATCGCCAGTGCTCACAGCCTCATGTAAAACTGCAGAACAAAAGGATGAAACTTGGGGACCAGCAGGTGGCATGGTGGTTAAGGTGCTGGACACTCCCACATGGCTGACCACAGTTCGAGTCCCAGACAAGGTGGCTTGCTTTCTAACTTTCTCTCTCTTTCTCTCTCTCGTCAAATTAAAATAAATTACTGAGTAAATAAATAAAATTAATAAATAAAAATAAATAATAATAAAAAATATAAAATAAAAATAATAAAAAATAAATAAATAAAAAATTATTTCTTTAAAAAAAGTGAAATTTAACTGCCACAAAGTCTCATATTTTATGACCACTTGCAACACCGGATTGAAAAACATATCTATAGATAAAAGACCAATATTTTCTTCCAAAGAGGAGAGAGGCTGCAGTCCTTTCCTACTATCCGTGAGTGTGTGGAGGCCAGTTTTACATAAAAGCAGAAGGGTTTGCATTTATGACCATCACGTTTTTCTATTGTGAGGATGCAGGTGCTCATCAGAGGAGAGAGATAAAGCACCCCCACTGGGGCATGGTCACGCCACCTGCAAGTCTTTTTCCTCCACTTCTCCAATCCCATCAGGACTTGGGGCACACATGGGCACACATGCATGTGCTGGCGTGTTTTCCAAGGTGCCAAAGCGAGGATTCGAATGGTGGTTGGCCCTGTGGGATCCAGCTCCGTGTGCACAGCAGTTAGTCACTGCATATGGGGCCATCCCTATGAGCATGGCTTCTGATTGCCAGCTCTTAACCAAATAAAAAAAGAAGAAAACAGAGCACGCTCGGCCTCTGGATCAAAGCCCTTATCCTCTCCCCTACCCCCCATTTTACCACTGGTTCTGAAACCCTGGCACTGTTTTCAGAGAGCTTTCACTGTGCAGTCACTCAACTGGTTCCGTGTAGATCTGGCAGGTGTGGCTTGTGTTTATGAACATCACTGCTCAGGCAACACAAAACTACTCTATCAAGTCCCAGACCTGGCAGCTTGAGCAACATGTCTGGTGAATGTGCCTAAAATCCCAACAGGGTAGAGAAATGGAGAAGAGATTGAGGCATAACCATTTCCCATGGGAGGAAGGGTATTTTCTCCTTTCCCTCAATTTACCTTTCTGGCAAGTGTATAAGCCTTTAGCAACATTTGAAAAAAAAGGGACCAGCAAGCGGCATAACAGTTATGTCACTGGACTTCCACAAAGTCAACTGTGGTTCGAGTTCCGGACCTGGTGGCTTAAAACTCATGCCAGTCACGTGTGCACACGTGCCCAAGATCGTGAAAGGAAAATGAAGAGGAGACTATGGTGTGGCCATCCCTCCTGGAGGTGACTTCGTGCTTTCTGTCTGTCTCTCTGGCAAGCACATGTGTCCTATGACAAAAATCTGTCCCTCGAAAAAAAAAGAAAGAAAGAAAGAAAGAGAAAAATTACTCTGACCAATAGTAAGAAAGCTAACAAAAACGAGGGAATGACAGGATCCCATTGGAAGAAGCTATTTCTAGCCATAATTTTTTTATTTTTTGCCTATCCTAATGAATTCCATGCCATTATTCCCTGGGTAAAACTGGCCTCCACACTCAAGTGTGGTAGGAAGCGTTTGTGCTGAGAATAGTTTCTGGGTGAGGAGTCACCCTATACCGAGAGCTCCTGGCTGAAGACACAATTCAAGCCACTGTGCTGCCCATCAGCCAGCCAGCATCCCCGACTCCCACCTCCTCGCCTCTGCCCTTAGTCCCAAGAGAAGAGTTTTTAAGATAAAGATCACTGAAGAAAATTATAATTAAGACTGGCCTTTATTCAGAAAGATAAACTGAAATGAATGACTTTAAATTATTTTCAAAGTGTACTTGCCTGTCCATCCCTGGCGATTTTCTTTGGTCACGTCTGCTTTATGTCGGAGCAATACTCGAGCAGATTCCAAATGTCCCAAAGAAACAGCCAGATGCAGTAACGTCCGACCTCGTGGATCCAGGGCCTCCACATTCTGCGAAATAAACACTGGCATTTACATGATCGTATACATTATATAAACGTGTGCAAGGGGCCAGGCGGTGGCACAGCGACAAAACGCAATGCTCTGTGAGGCTGAACCATACCGGAAAGTTCTGGGTTCAAGTCCAGAGACCACCCTGAGTACACTGGGCACCTATGTACCCATGTTGTGGGGCCGGCTGAGGCTGGGGTGGATTGTGGCATCACAACCCTGTTGGGAGTGCTGTTTCTCTCTCTCTTGCTCATGGGAGAAATAAATAAAAACTTTTAAACTGTTTAGAAGCAGAGTTTGAGAACTATATTAAGTATATTAAGAAAAAAGTATTTACGCATTATATAGAGCAACATATGAGACCAGCAGATGATGTGATGGTTACATCGCTGGGCTCCCACATAGCCGACCATGGTTTGAGTCCTGGCCCCGGCAGCTTAAACTCATGCTGGGCGCATGTGCATGCGTGCCCAAGATCCCAAGAGGAGAATGGAGGAGAAGGGATTGCGGCGTGGCCATCCGCCCTGGGGGGTGATTTCTCACTTTCTGTCTCTCTGCCTCTCTCTGTCTGGCGAGCACACCCACCCTATAGCAAAAACCTCTCAAAAAAAAAAAAAAGAGAAGAGGACCAGCAGTTAGAGTAATGGCTATGTCACTAGACTCCCATGTAGTCGTCTGCGGTTTGAATCCTGGACCCAGTGGCTTAAACTCATGCTGGGCGCATGTGCATGCGTGCCCAAGATCCCAAGAGGAGAATGGAGGAGAAGGGATTGCGGCGTGGCCATCCGCCCTGGGGGGTGATTTCTCACTTTCTGTCTCTCTGCCTCTCTCTGTCTGGCGAGCACACCCACCCTATAGCAAAAACCTCTCAAAAAAAAAAAAAAAGGTATGTTTGCATATTTGCATATGGGCAAGGTGAAAATACGAATTTAGAGACTAAAAATAAAGATGACATTACTGAGTTCCTTTTTCTATAAAGTTAGGTGCCCAATAAATAAACATTGACTAATGGCCTCAAATCATTCAACCCAACCTTAAGCTCTCAACGGGACTCAAATTAAGTCTAAATAAGGCTAAGGGTTTCATGAACTGCAACCACCCTGTGACATGGAGCGTGGGGGAATTCTCAAGCACATATCAGCATTCAAGTCTAGAACAGGAAGTACAGGACTTTAATCAAAACTGAAAGTAGAGAAGACAATTTGGGTCGAATAAAATTACAATCTGTAGCTGGAGTCCCACCAAGCACCACTCTCATGATTGTGTATTGAGTTCCAAGTGCCCTGAAGTAGCATATCAACCCCAGCAATATATGGGGGGGGGGGGGTCCTACAGACAACAAGCACGGCCCACCAGGCATGGATGTGGACATGCTTATAGAGAAATACAATAATGCGCACACGGCACTGTGACCGCTTCCCCTTGAGGGTTTTCTTTCTTGTACTAGATAGACTCTTGGCTTTCATCTCCTCATTCCTGTTCTGCTGTGTGGCCCTCCTCTCAGCACTGCATTCAGCTGCTGGAGCTGAGCAGCAGCTTCTCTGCTGTGAGCTAAGTCTCAGACTGGGCACTGCCTGCCAAGCAGGGCTCTGAAGTTTCTTCCAAGGACACAATAAACTGCCATGGGACTTTTGGAATGGAAAAGACTTTTCAAATGCCATAATACTTCTTAGAAAATGTGCTTTATCTTGATGTGAGATGCTAGCTGTTGTCTGGGCACGCACTGCGGTCTCTGAAGATACACAGAACACAACACTTACAAAGGAAGGTACAGCAGGGCCATGGGTGAAAGACCATAATCCAACAGCTATTGAACATCCTGGTTTTGCTAAAATTGTATCTCACCTATAGGGCAGTGAAGATAAGAACTGTGTGGTGCGTGGCCCTGTCTGGCAGCTGAGGAGACCCCGCGCAGTGCTGCCAACGGCCGGGTGGAGGAGCTGAGGTCAGCATCAAATTGGAAATATTTCAAGTGGAATACACAACTATTTCAGCAATGCAGACAATTAAGTATGTTGTTGTGGGTGATGGTGCTGTTGGTAAAACATGTCTCCTGATTCCTACACAACAAACAAATTTCCATCTGAATATTTACCAACTGGTTTTGAACAACTCTGCAGTCACAGTTATGATTGGTGGAGAGCCATATACTCTTGGGCTTTTTGATACTGCAGGGCAAGAGGATTATGACAGATTACGACTGCTGAGTTATCCACAAACAGATGTATTTCTAGTTTGCTTTTCAGTGGTCTCTCTGTCCTCACTTGAAAATGTGAAAGAAAAATGGGTGCCTGAGATAATTCCTCACTGTCCAAAGACTCCTTTCTTGCTTATTGGGACCCAAATTGATCGCAGAGATGACCCTTCTACTATTGAGAAACTTGCCAAGAACAAACAGAAGCCTATCACTCCAGAGTCTGCTGGGAAGCTGGCCCGTGACCTGAAGGCTGTCAAGTATGTGGAGCGTTCTACACTCACACAGAAAGGCCTAAAGAATGTATTTGATGAAGCGACACTGGCTGGCCTGGAGCCTCCCGAACCCAGGAGTGGTGTGTGCTGCTATGAGCATCTCTCCAGAGCCCTTCTGCACAGCTGGTGTCGGCATCATACTAAAAGCAATGTTTAAATCAAACTAAAGAATAAAAATCAAAATGAGTTTTTGCAAAAAAAAAAAAAAAAGGATAAAAACTGTTATTGAGGAATATTAGAAGCATTTGAAGAAGTTCTAGCTGAACCAAATTCTCCAAGACCAACCCCAGGCCACGGTATTCTCCCAGGTGCTGAAATACCATCATGTCCATAGCACCTCCCATGAATCTCTGAATTTTCACAAGGGTATGGCTTGTCCTTTGTACTAAAGAAATTGAGAGCTCCTAAAGATAGGGTCCTACCTTCTGCCACCCTACCGTCTAACTTGCATTAAATAATTGTCTTCTTAAAAGTAACAGGGTGATGAATTTATGAACTATAAATTTATTTACGTTTAGCAAGAAAGAAATAACTAGCAAACTCATCTTCGTACAGGTCTACATGTTTTATCAACAAATTCAATCAAAATGAAAGATGCTAGGTTTGGAACACTGCCTGCCATACATTCATGTAACACATCATGTCAATATCCTAAAACAGGCCCAGCCTCTGTGGCACGGCTGATAGCATGCCAGACTATGGAGATGGAAGCCACATGCCAACCACGGTTCAAGTCCCCAGCCCAGTCAGCCTGAAAACATGTGGGGCACATACATGTGCCCAAGATCCTGGCATGTTGGAGGACTAGAGGAAGGAGATTATGGCATGACCAAACCCTGTGAAGAGTTGGTCCCCCCCATCTCTGTCTCTCATGCATGTACATGCTCTATCATGAATTGATTTATTTTTAGAGAGATTTTTTTCTATAGGGTGCATGCACTTGCCAGAGAGACAGAAAGCAAGAACTCCCCCCCCCACCTCCCCAGGAGAAGTGGCCTCACTGCAATCCCTTCTCTATTCTCCTCTCGGGAGATTTTGGGCATGTATGCACATGTACCCAGCGTGAGTTTCAAGCATCCAGGTCTGGGACTCAAACCATGTTTGGCCATGTGGAAGTCCAATAACTTAACCATTATACCATCCGCTGGTCCCTCTAGCATGAATCTAATATATATATATATTTTTTAATTGAACAAAACAAAAACACAAATCATTCTAAAGATGCAGAAAACAAACTTGATAAAATCCAACAGCTCTTCATTATAGAAAAATAAATAAAATTCAACTCCCCCAAAACTAGGGACTTCCTCAAAGAGCACTTGTGAAAAACATACAGCTAACATCATACTTGATAGTAAAAGACTGGACATTTTCTCCCTAAGATTAGGAACAAGAAAAGCATGTCCTCTTTTAACAATGCTATTCAATACCCTACTAGAGGTTCTAGCCAAGGTGATTGGGAAAGAAAAAGAAAAAAGCATTCAGATTAGAAAAGAAAAATTAAGGGGTCAGTACATGGCATAATGGTTATGTCACTGGACTCCACCAACATAGTTGATCACAGTCTGAATCCCAGAACTAGCAGCTTGAAACTCGCACCAGGCATGTATGCATGTGTGCCCAAAATCCCAAGAGGAGAATGGAGGAGAAGGGATTGCAGCATGGCCATCCTCCTTGGAGGGTGATTTCTTGCTTTCTGTCTCTCTGTCTCTGTCTCTATAGGGCAAGTGTATGTGGCCCTATAGCAAAACCCTCTCTAAAAAGAAAAGAATTAAAATTGTCTCTATCTGTAAATGACATAATCTCTCTCACACATAGAAAAGGAATCTGCTAAAAAGACTTAGAATAAATGAGGTCAGCAAGGTCGAAGGATAAAAGATCAATATACAAAAATCAATTATGCTTATACACTTTTAAGGAACAACTCAAAAATGAAATTAAAATTCCATTCACAATAGCATCAGAAAAATAAAACAACTTGGGAATAATTTAACAAAAGAAGCACAAAGCTTACACTCTGATGACTACAAAGCACTGTTGAAAGAAATTAGAGATCTAGGGCCAGCTGGGTGGCATGAGGTAGGCACTGGATACCAGTAGCTGACACAGCAGTTCGAATCCCAGACCCAGTAGTTGGAAAATTACGCCAGGCACATGTGCATGCAGAGAATGGGGAAGAGATTGCAGTAAGGGGCCATTCCCCCCAGAGGGTGATTTCTCACTTCTCTCTCTGTGTAGTCCACACCCTATAGCAAAATTAAAACAAAAAGAAAAAAGGAAAGGAAGAAAAAAATAAAGAATCTAAAGAAGTGGAAAAGCATGCTATGCTCACGGTTCAGAGACTTACGATCGTTAAGATGGCAATACTCTGCAAAGTGAGGTATACATTCGATGTAATTCCTATGAAAATCCCAAGTGACTTCTTGCAGAAATTTACAAGCTGATTCTAAAATTCATATGAAAATGCAGGGAATCCAAAACATATTAAATATTATATTTTGTTTATCTTTTTGTCAACTGAGGGACATTTG